AGGGAACACAAGCAGGGGGAGTGGGAGAGGGAGAAGCAGGCTTCCCGTGGAGCAGGGAGCCCGATGCGGGGCTCGATCCCAGAACCCTGGGATCAGGACCTGAGCCAAAGGCAGACGCTTAACGACTAAGCCACCCAGATGGCCCACGCTTGACGTTTTTGAAGAGCTCAGGAAATAAATATTGGATAAAATTTGGATAATTGTACTACAGTAATAGAATAGAATATCTTTCAGACATAACTGCATTGTGTTTATAACTTATTCTCCAGTGTTTCAGGAAAACTTTAAAAGAAATGATGACAGAGGAAGAAAGATTGATAAAAAGTTATGACACTTTTATATAACATATATAACATGTGGGGGACTCCAGGTTATGGTTATAATAACATTTGGGAACTCTAAGTCCCCAAACATATGGTAATTCTTTGCACCATTGTTTTAACTATTTTTAAAGTCTGAAATTACTTCAAAATAAAAAGTTTAAAGAAATCCGTGTCAGGTTTAGGCCTAAGACTATAATGCATTTAATGTACGAAAGAGATTTTTTTAGGTGACAAAAGGAATAAGTTCCCAAAACTGAGCTGTCTGTCACCTTCTCTGTGTAAATGAGCCATTCAATGGAAGAGGCAGGCAAATTTTGGAAGGTAATGTTACAGGGTCTTAAAATGAGAAAAATGACAGAGAAAGTGTTTAAAATACACTTAATTTAAAAAAAAAAAGTAATATACTTACGGTCCAACCCAGGATGGCTGATTGTCATTAATGAGATGGATTTTGTTAGTGGAGAAGAAATGGCTGATGTACAGTAATTGAATCCCTGTTGTTTAGATCTGTGACACGGCTGTGAAGTTAAAGAAACAAAATAAATAACTGAAGAACAGGTTTTAAGTCATGTTCTTATCATTTCTAGATAAGCACAGAGCTGTACCTTCCGGCCCAACCTAGGAGCAGAAGGCAGTACACGGGAGGGGTAAGAGCACAGCTCTGCAGCTAGAGATACTGGATTCAAGTCTGCCCCTGCTGCTTGACAACAGTCTAAACTCAGTCTAACTTCAGAGGAGTTACTTAGCTTTCATGAACCTTACTTTTCTTATCTGTAAAATGGGAATAATGAGAGTAGCCATCCTGTACAGTGGGTTTCATATCCCTCACAATGCTTGATAATGTTTTAAACTTTAGTACATGCTTAGTAAACATCTGTTGAATGCATAATCAGACAAAATAACTTCACTGGAAATATCGAACTACATACAGTAGCTCTTGTTCTTCGAGAATCTAAATGTCCTTTCTAGAGATATAGTAGGTATTAGTAATATTATTTTCTGATTTTAACGAGTTGGGAACAGAACTGCAAATAAAAGGTGTTTTAAGATCAAGAGCAAGGCAGCTGTGCATCTGGGAAGAAGCCTAAATCTCTTTCATTTCCTCCTCTAAGATTAGACTGCTTCTACAGTAACAAGAGGGGGGCTGAAACCTGGTAATTTACCTCCCTCAGTAAATCCACAGCAGCTTTGAGGGCATGTAATGCAACCAACTGCAGAAGCTCCTGTAATAACACCCTTAGAAGGAGAGTCCACCAGTGTTCACTAGCACTCTTCTGGTGGTGAGGGGCTCCCTCTCCTTTGTTCTGAGAGCCATTTTGAACTGTTATCTAACTTTGTCATGATTCCCCTCCCTTCACAGTAGGCTAAAATCTGCACATGCTCAAAGGCAAGCAATGAAAATCTGTTAGTACCATGAATTCAACTCAAGTGTGCCAAAGACTTCTGATTATTGAAAACTTGTTCCATGTGTAACCGTGGAGTCTGAGGCAAACAGTTGCTATGTTTCAAATACAACTGTGAGGTCTGAAAAATGACCTCAGTGAAAGGCAGAGACCTTCAGCAGGAAGCTGCCTGTAGGCAACCTGTCCAGATCAGAGATACCAGCAGCTCAAATACCCACTGAGGTTGCACACAAGACAAAAAGTGTGGGTGAGCAGACAGTTCCAGGAAGGTTAACAAGCACAGGAAAGCACGAAAATGTCCACAACTTCATCTAGAAAGACTAAATCAGAAAAGCCATTTGAGAAAGACTTCAGTGGTAACTGACATCACTTACTAACAGACAGGGTCCTCTGTCCAATTCCTAGAAATAGGAGTTTCAGAAAAGGTTTTACATAAACAATATTAAGGAAATGAAAATGTTCCCATTTCCTCATGAAAACTCCCCTACTTCAAAAATGTGAGAAAAAGCAGTGAGACTAACAGCCAAGAATTCTGAGATTAATGCTGTCCAGCTAATGGCCAGTTATGAGGCCTCAGGCAAGTCGCTTCAAATGGGCGTGAAGTTCTCACACACAAGGGCTTATGCAGAATCCGGAGGGATATATTGGCTGTAAGTCTAGGATTCTGTTCATAAACCCACAATTTTGGTATTTTGTCTGGTCTTACAATAGACTTCCAAAGGATTGTATACACATGAAATGTGGTTTATTCTTCAGACTCTCTACTAACCAAAGATGCTATTGGCAAGTCATGATAAAGAATTGTTTCTATTTTTCACTCCCTTTTTCTGTTACCGTTAGGTTGAATTTAAATCATTTGCCTCAATAAATATATTCTCCATATTCTTTTTCAAAAATTTATTTTTTAAAAGGTTTATTTATTTTTTTAATCATCTCTACACCCAATGTGGGGCTCGAACTCATAACCCCGAGATCAAGAGTCACATGCTCCACTGACTGAGCCAGCCAGGCACCCTATTCTCCATCTTCTTGTTATTTTTCTTAACTTTTTCTAAACTATCAGGCCCAGGAGACACGGGGGGTGGGGGGAGGGGATAACCGGGCAAAATTCCTTTGGGCCTTCAATTTGACTTTCATCCAGCTGAAATTCTCTTGGGCATTCACGTAAGTAATACATTCATTATTAAGGTAATCCTCCAATGTCCAATTTCTATTTGGGCATATCACTGCTATGTAGTGGGGTATAACAAAACATTAAATGTCTACATAAAACCCTAGTCACCTACTCAAAGAACAGGCTGTTTAACTTTTTTGTTGGTTTAATTAGAAATGTTTCATTCTCTCTCTACCTAAAACTCCAGTCACCTACTCAAAGACAGGTGTTTAATTTTGTGTCTGTTTAATTAGAAATGTTTCATTTGCATGTGTATCACAGAATCCTCCTAGAAATCAATCCAAAGTCCCGTTGGCTCAAGAGGAGGATAAAAGACCGGGAGCAGGGTGCGATGCTCTAAAAGCATACAATTCCAGTTCTCAAGGCAAACTCCCTGAGGACCCATCCCAGGTGGTGAGCATCGGAATGAAGGGCCTGCGAGGGTGAGCCCTGGGAAAGTCACCTGACCGGCTATGAGGAAGGCCAGGCCCTCCAAGAGGCAGTGCCTGTGGCAGGCATGAAGAGGGCAGAGCATCAGGCGGGGAGGGAGTACAGATGCTCTCTGAAAAATTCTGACAGCTGCAGGAAGCAGAGAGAAAGAAATAGCCATTTCCTAGGCAATGTGAGAAGACAAAGAGTAAGATTCCCCCCCACCCCAAGGAAGGGATATGTTTTTGAAAAATTAGGAAATTTAAATTTAACAATGTTGTGTAACACACTTCAAGACTCACTTTATACTATTGAGATGATAAAAGAAGTCCTCAGATAAGAAGGAAAAATTTAATAACCTGGGTATTTTTCTAATTTAAAAAAGGTTACAAATTACTTATTGTGAACTGAGACCATATGCTTCAAATATTTGATGGAATATTTAAATGAATGCAGATTAATGGTATTCTTGAATTACTATTAAGTGCTAAAAACTTGCTTTGTGCTAGATTGAGTGCATTATATAATGGGTAAGCAATCACGGCCAGTAGCCTTATATGGATGTAAGTCTTGCTTTCTTTGTTCCTAACGTGAGGACACCGTAGGGAAGTAAAGTGAATTTTTCCAAGTTAGCAGTATATACCCTCTTCAGCCTTACCTGCTGATCAAGCATCCTGTGTTCTCTCTGGCCTGATTCCAGATCCTCCTCTGAAAGCGACACCAAAGAGTCACCCCTTTCTTCCCCACTGAAAGGGTGCCTGAGCTCTTTGGTGTTTACAGACTCTACACCTAGAGACGAAGATGGCTCGTCTCCGGCACCAGCTCCTCCTGCCAAGCCTTCTAGGCTGAAACTGAACACAGAGAAAAGGAGTTAATTCATTCCGTTTCCGAGGCTCAGGAAGGAAAGGAGGATAGGAAATTGCTTCGTGTGTATCTCCCTGCTGGTATATTATATGTCACCTAGCAAAGCTATCGCCAAGAGCATGGCACAAGGGGTGCCGCCTACCTTTGCCCCCACAGGCGTTGGCATGCTGAGAAAGAATACTGCACTGAGATCTTCTTACTTCATTCAACTTATTCAAATGGACCATCTAAGGTCATTTTCTCAAGATTTTTTTTTTCAATATACCATCTGTATTATCTTACCGATCTTTTGTTTTTCCTTGATCTGATGTAATTGATCTTTGCCAAAGTCTAACTCAGCCAATGGCAAAGAATTAACGGCACAGAGAAAACAGGTGTGTAAGTCACTTTCAGAAGACAAACAGGGAGACCCAGACTTGCCCTTGTGTCCATTAAGTGGACCGTACAACTTTACATTCAACTACAGTCTAGCTGACCTTTACTATTTCACAGGTGTGTGTCCACCCCAGAGACCTGAGTATTACTTCTGAGCAGCAGCATCTGTGCACGTCTGGCCAGTCCAACAACTGCCTGACAGGTTTCCCGAGAACTGTGAGTCGCAGACAGGCGCATGGGCCACCTTAAAGAACAAATGCTGAAAAGCTGCTAAGTCTAAGAGTTTTAAGACTGACCCAAAAAGGGGGCAAATTTAGGGCATGGGATCCCTGGAGTAACGATTTTGTGGTCTGCAGAGTGAAAAAAGCATGTTTTTTTGTGAGCAGGAGACTAGAGAGAGCAGTTAGCCATCTACCCGCCTCGGGGCTGCTAGCCAGAATCATCCACACCTGTTACAGCTGCAGCGGGAACTTCTTTCCAATAAGCAAGAGAGCAGAACAGAGCCGTAGCTGACCATGTTCCCCATTACAAGCAGCTGGAAATGCATTTGAAGGTATACTGAAGCTATGCAGTTATCTCTGCTCAAGCTGTACAACAGTTAATTCTACAAATAGCTCACATACGCCAGTCCGGAGGGCCTGTTATTTGCTTTTTGCATTTCACAAATTACCTACGGTGAACTGAAACCATATGCTTCTGTTTTTCTCTAGTGGGTAATTTAAACAATGGATTTTGTTTTTCTTATTTCAATATGACAATAGAAATCATGATTAAGTATAAGTAAATGCCTCTGTGAAACTCATCTGCAATACCAGGGATAAAGAGACAGGCTAAGTGAAGAAGAAATTTAGGTTTCTATTGTGAATTGTTTGTAAAGCCTGAGAAAACCAGCCTATCATTACCCACAAAACTTAATCTTGAAAATGTTTTAGTAATTAAATCTGGCTGCTTAATTGAGAGAAGAATATAAAACATTGAGGAATCTGTGAATTTGGAATAGAAAGAGATTGGGGTATTTGGAAACATAAGAGAAATAAGTGCATCTTATTAGCTGCCTTGCTTCTGTCATTGTTTTCCTCAGGATGTGGGAATCCCCAGGTTCTGGGAATTAGGACAGACCAAAAACAGAGAGAGTGGTGGTCTGCCAGAGATACAAGTCTGTGCAGAAAACACCGAATCTACAGCCACCTGAGACAGAGAGGACGCATCAGGGTACACCCTCCACCTCCTAGGCTGTACCCCTTCAAATGGATTAGTGATGCCCATAGGAGAGGCAACTCAACACCGTGCTCCAGAAAAAGCGCGCTGCCATATGCATTCTAGCCACACAGAAGCAAGCTCCCAGCCAGAAGCCCAGGTGCCATATTTTATAATTCCCCCTTTGGTGGCTGGACATGGAACAATACCATACCTTCTGTAATTAAAGTCAGCACTCAGGGCAGCAGAGTATTGTACAGCAGAGGGACACCAGCTCATACTGGGGATGACATCAAAGGCAGAAACAGAAATGGAGGGAGAAAAGAGGAAACAGGGACGGGGTTATTGGGTTTGAAAAGAAAAGCCATAGTTACAGACAGATGGATTTATTTGATCATCAAAAAATAAGGAACGTAACACTTAGGATTTAGAAAAAGGCTAGAACAAAAACCACAGAAACTTAAAACTGCTCTACTAACATCCATCTAGACAATGTGCTGGAAATGTCTATGTCAGTTCGTTCCAGGGTAACAACTCTGAACAAAGAGCCCACTCCATCCACGGCTCCCTCCTCAGGTGTTCTCCCGACGTATCCCCACTACTGGGGACAATCTCTCCATACGCTCTGCCACGCCACTCTCAGACCTCCGTGGCCACAGTGATAATCCTTAACTACACTAAACTCCCCCTTGACTAAAAGGGACAATGTCAAACTGCACTGGGGTAGGCTCACTGGGTCATCAATTTTCTTCACATGTTTCCAGTAAGGGTCCATCTACTCATGAGTCTTTCCTAATAAGGATATCCTATCAACACTCACACCCATCTTTAAACCCTCACTAAGCTCTTGTGATGAAGATTCGCCACGTCACAATGGTCACATTTCCTTGTATTTTAATGATAACGAAGGCATGTATTTTCTTCAAAAGAAAAGGAATTCTGTGGTACTGAGTTAGAAATGTGTCTTAATTTTAGGTTTGCATCCATTTTCCCGAGATTAAAAAAAAAAAAAGCAAAACTCCATTTGATCATCTACTTTCTCTCGGCACTGATATTTACTCTAAAGCAGGAGGGACAGAAAATCTAGGGTTGGAAATACCATGTAAATATAATCAGCTAAAAAAATAACCAATTCAAAATATCAGGTACACTGTAAAGGGAACTGCACCAATAGGTCAGGATTTCTGACTGACAAAAAATCAGTTTAAAAATACACTGCTACTCTTTGGGGCCTTAAAATTCTAAGTGACGTGTTTTTGTTTTCAGAAGGGGGAATAACAGTAACACTCCCTCAGCTCTCTCTGGAATCTTGCAAATGGGAAGATGTACAGGCACCAAAAACCCCTTGAATACCTTGAATACACTTAATTTTGTTTTAGTAAGTGGGGGGTTTCTGGCAGAGGAAAAGATATAAGGAAGGTGGTGGGGGAATAAACAGAAGAACTTTGAGCCTTCTAAAAGTAAATTTTTAAAATCATGGCATTTAAAAATAATTTAAATAGTAAAACACTTAAAATCAGGTTAAATTAATAGTACAAAGCTCAAAAGGGCAGAAGCGGAAAGGAAAATTTAGCATCTGAGACACATCTCCAGCCTGATAAACGAAATCAGACTGACTTATAATTTGCTCGTGTGAGGGAAGCAAGCAAGCCTTGATATAATTTACAAACACACACGAGACTAAGAAGTCCATTCTCTGAAATTATTAATTTCATTTTGAATCTCCAAACTGTTAATAAAAATTTTTAAAATATCCAACATGGTAAATCAGCAACCGAATATACACTACCAAGTTATCATTCAAAAAAATTCTCTCCCTCTACAGATTTAAACATCCCTTTACTCTCAGAAAATGATAATGATGTGAGAGCAGGGTGAAATTTAGGATGGAGAGAATGGAGAGCGACAGGGAGACAGGAGGAGGACGTAACAGGGGGGTCCTAAGGCTCCAGGAAGGAAGCTGCAGGTGGTCCTTCAGCGGCAGCAGACCTGCCCTTCCTTCTAGCAGAGAACTCCTATCACGAGAGTGTTTTTTGTTTTTTTTTTTAAAGATTTTTGTCAGAGAGAGAGAGAGCACACGAGTGTTTTTGAGAGCATCCTCAATTTCCTCAATTAGTGGGTGTGACATTTAATGGTTCTTTGGCCTTATTTTGAGATTTAGAAAATTTTAGATTCTTAAAAAAACCCCCAAATATCCCACTCTCTACCGTTTAACACTTGTGGGAATGTTTCAGTTTTACTAGCTAAGGCTTCATAGAGAATTTTAAGTGATACTTCACGTTCTTCCTGCAGAAAAATGACTAAGGGTGAAATGGTGTGTGGCCCTGTTGTGAAGCTTTATCTATATGCTTCCTGGGACTGCATCCAGCCACCTATCCCCTTCCACTGTCAACACGTGGATGCTTTACAGAGAGCTAACTAGATCTCTAAAGGGTTCAGACACTTCTACTGAAAACGGCATTTAACAACTTGTTCCCCTGGGAGAACAACTCAACTGAGTCTCATCACCCGAGATTCACGAGGGTATTTGTATTTGAACTCAATTTTGTGCCTGAAATCTGGAAAAAGACAAAGAAGGGAGGACCACTACCTGCCAGCTTCCCAAGGAAGAGCTTCAGCTCAGAACTGAAAATACCTCTTTACAAATGTCTCCCAATATGAGAAACTATGTATAATTCCACCATCGTTTTTGGATTTCCGAATTGTTTCCCCCAAATAATGGAAGGAACGGTCACTAGTGACGACTTCTGAACAAAGTAAAACTCAGCATCTGAAAAGCAAATCGGCATTTTTTTTGACTGGAAATGACTTTTCAGCTTCTAAATTACTAATTGTTAGCTTCAAAATGTTACCTGACAAAAAATAATTAAGGAGTTGGAAGACTGGGAGATGAGCGGATGCCTCTTACTTGTTTTCGGAAATGACTACATCAACATTGGAGTGGAGATGGTCAGGGGGCCTAGAATGTGTTAGGGCCTGTGTGCCAGCACACAATTATTTCTGGTTCTTTCCCCTTCTTGGGGGGGTGGGGTGGGGGAAGAAAATGCACTCCCCAGGGTCCATTAGACAGGCACAATCGACGTGTCTTTGAATTCTCCTAGGGAGAGTCGGGGAGACCCTATTATCAAAGTGATCTGAACATCAGTAAGTACAAGATGGAAAAAACACTAAAAAAGTTTCCTTTCAAGATAAAAAGAGAATAGGAAAAAATTTCAGACTCACAAAACCATTTCATATGCAAATGGACATCAGCAATTAATACATACTTATATTTTATTTGCCTGAAGCAGACGTGACATTATTGTAAAAGACGGTTTAATCATGGATCAAGCAAAATGAAATGCTTGTTAGTAGAAGCTCAGAGGCAACACAGTTAGTCCATCAAGTTAGTGAACTCTGTACCTTCTCCTATGAATGGGAGGTCTCCTGACAACATCCCCAAGAACTCGCAATGAACTGAAAATGAATGGTGGAAGAGGTCAGTGTCGAGGTGAAACAAAATGGACACAAACGCATGAAGCATACAGACATCACGAAGGGGAGAGACACGAGCCACTCAGAGAAACAGTACAGGAAGGCAGGGAATGAGAGAATGTGGAGTAAGAAACACATCAAAACCACAAAGGCCTGACAGCCTGACAATTTCTGGGGAGGGTTACTCTGCTCCCTCCTTGCTCCACAGAGTTAATCAGATGACAAGGAATGAGGTTTATTAAATTATAAAAGTAAAAGGATTAAAAAAAGGCCATTCAAAGCTTTAGAAGGGTTTTCTTAAGACTTTAAAATTCAGGTTATACTATATGCAGATAACACTGTCAGCATCAGTCAAACTAATTCAAGCCCTTCCATCACTCCAGAGGCACTGGGCAGTGGTGTGAGGGGACTGTCAATGCTAGGCTCACAGAGGAGATGCCATGATATTATACAGGTTGCAAATATGAATAATTAAGTGATAGGGTTCTAGTCTTAGTTCAGTCTTAAGAGCACCACGTAATCTGGGGCAAATCATTCAGTCTGAGCTTTAATTTCCTCATCTGAGCTACAGGATCCACAGTCACAGCCAGCTCTGAAATCCATAGCGGGTTATAAGAAAAAATGGATTGCCTTTTAAAATAAACCCTTGTTTCTCGATGCCGTTAGCATCTCTGACAGTATGTCCTGTCAAGAGGCTATTCTTGCTTCAGGAAGAGAATTCCAGCTCTAGGAATGATTCCCCACATCCTTATTTATTTTTTAACTGGTGTGAATGCTTTTTAAAAAAAAGTACAGCGTGAATAAAGCTGGGAAGGAAAGCTTTTAGAAACTGCTTTTTATATAATCTATGCTTTCAAATGTATATAAAAACTACCCAGCAGATAAAGCAACTACTTATTTTTAAAGGTAATGTTATGAACTCTACCAGAAAATAATATGGAATCACAGAAAGAGCACTTACTAGGAGATCAGAAACCTAGTTACTACTGACCTGGTTTGGGTTAAGTGGCACCTGACTCAGGGAGAGGACTGGAAAATCACGTGGGATACTTTGTTATGAAACAAGTCTGAGAAGAGCAGCACGTGAGCCAAGTGTAAGGTATCGCTGTGAGCTCCAAGAAGGCGGGGACTTTGGCTCGTTCACGTGTCTCTAGAACCTAGAAATGCCTGGCATGTGGCGGGTGCTCAACATATGTTGGCTAGATAAAACAATAAACAAGTGAGTGCCATCAGATTCCACATACCTATCTATAGCTCTGAAATCTGAGCCGTGTTGTAAGGAGGTCAGGGAATTAAAAAGAAAAAAGCTGTAACCGCTCCAGGTGAGTTTGTCACATCACCTGTATTCACACAACGGTCAGCCTGCTCCCTCAGCCGCTTTTCCTCATCCAGAAAGTAGCTGGGGCGTAAGCACAACTCTGTACATACAGCAGGCCCCACGGCACTTGGTCGTTAGAGCTAAAACCGTCTGCTTAAATTCCTGGAAGCAGCCTGTGGTCAGAGGCCAAGTCCAAACTACCTTTTCATAGCCTGCTCCCGAACGGAAGGTGTGACATGGGTCACACGTACCCATGTCCCCAAAGACTGGAAGATACGTGGAGAAATACCAACCATCCAATGATACTGAATGATTCTTAGGCTCTCTTACTGATTAAATGATCATTCAGACTCTGTCCAAACTTTCCACATTAGAAACGGACCGCAATTTCTGGGAAGCACTTTGAAAACAGATGGTGTTGAGACAAGATTTCATGTTTAGTTTTTAATTCAAAGTTGACAGGACTCTATTCCCTCCACAAGTTTTTAATCTATGAATTTTATTAACAGATATGGCTTGAACTACTGTTGGCACTTATTAAACCCCCACCATGTAGCAGACCTATTTCACTTGCAATATTTATTATCACAAATATTCTGAAAAGCAGGTATTTTACAGATGAGAAAATTAAAGCCCAGAGGGGTCAAGTAACTTGCCCAAGCTTATCTACATACTGAGTTACAGAGCTGGGGTTTGAACACAGGTTTTACTGATTCCAAAGCCCATCTGCTTTCCTCTGTACCGCGGTGTCTCCTAAATTCTTTTACCACGATAACACCAAATCACAGAATCAAAAGCAAGCAGACACTGAGAAACGAAACCAACGGCCCCACCGGGTCCACCTCACCTGCGCTGGTTCATTTCGGCATCACTGGCCGCGTTCTTCCCAGGACCCCAGCTGTGCCTCCGGAAAGGGGACAGGGAGCGCATGGAGCTCCTCAGCACGGAGCAGTTCGCGGGCACCTCGGTGATGCTGTCCATCTCCTCCTCCTCCATCTCACCTGAGCCGGCAGCTTCACCTTCGCTCTCTCGGCCCTCAGCTCCCACACCATGGCTGTAGAAGCCGTCAAGACACTGCTGATCTCTGGACCTGTTCAAATTTGAAATCTGGGGGAGGGAAACATCACTGCCGTGAGAAGAATGTCGGTCCAAGGAAGCGGTGTCATCGGTGGACGAACTGGATCCGGTGATATCACAGACCAGCGGCTCTTCCTCGGGCTGTCATGGAGAGAGAACACACACAGTTGGAAATGGCAAGGCCTCATTAGTCCCGACCCAGGAGTGGCTTCATAGTGGGTAGGATGGGCAAGATCACAACTGGCGTCAAACAGGTGTTCCCTTTTTTCAAGCATGGTCACAGTTTGATTCAAGTTGTCCCCGAGGAAGGTATGGTCTAGGTCTGTGTTCCCTCGACCCTCTTATTAGAGGTACACAGACCATTCCTTTCTTACAGGGGAAAAACATCTAACCCGGGTTCAGGTCAGTTCCACAGGCCAATACCACCAACTGAAATGAAGAGAACCCTTATGTGTTGGGGTTTCTGTATGAAAACTCTATAAATTCATTTACTATTAGGTTTAATTTTCCCCCCAAGCTTTAACTAAAAATAAGGTTGTCTGCTTGGCTGCCATGATGTCATTCTGAATTTAATATTCCCAAAGCAAGTCTGTAACTGAAAAATGCAAAATAGCTTATGACCCTACCTAAAATCTGCCACAAATGCCCACATTCTGGCCATGAATGCCTACGTGGAAGAAATCTATTCCTTTTTCTCATTTCTCACTGAGGATTGGCAGTGTCATCAAGCCAAATACACGTAACATAATCAGTCCTGGCAATGGAGTCTTGAGTGAGTGATGATGTTCCTTCTCTGGCCAACCTCGGGAGCGTAAGAGAAATAGTACAGTTTTGATCCCAAGCAGCCTGACATTCTCTGTTTGCTACATACACCAGAGCTCACACTTTTGACAGGTGAGGGAAAGATGAGCATCCTGACACTCAAAAGATGAATTTATCCAGAAAGTAAGTAGAAGTGTCTAGAAGATGCATGATCACACTCTCAGATTTGGGCACCGCACTGTCTTAACATCTTTATTTTATTGTGTTCTTCTAGGAGAGGGAGCAGGGACTAGGGAAAGGCATACTGTGGTTTATTTTTCCTCTTCACAGTATTTTCCTAATTAGCCAGTCTACTCAAAGTTTTAATTAAGAGTGAAGAAATTTATAGTTCTTTAAGATTTTAAAAATTATGAGAACTAATGAGCCTTTTAGCTTTGGAATAGAAAATAAGACCTATTCTAGAAGGAGAGTATTTTCAAATGTTTACATTAACACTTCAAAAGCATTCTCTACAATTTTGGGGCTGAATCTCTGCCAGCTCATAGGAGTTCCCCACCCGCCCCCCCACTCTGTGGCATCCGGTTTCCTCTGTTAATTGCTCTTGAAATGATGCGTGAGGGATGAGACTAAGAGGGAGATGTGGGGGTCACCAGGACCCGGACTGGCTCTCCAGGCCCTCCCAGTACATAGGCAGTGAGCAGTGAAGTGAACTCAGGCTGATTTCAACTAAAACTGCCCTGTTCTGTTCCCCTCATCATCTTTAAAAAAAACCCTGCAGGGGCAGTGCCTGGGCGTCTCCGCTGGTTAAGCATCTGCCTTTGGCTCAGGTCGTGATCCCGGGGTCCTGGGATCGAGCTGAGCCCTGTCATCGAGCCCCATGTCATCAGACTCCTTGCTCAGCAGGGAGTCTGCTCCTCCCTCCTCCTCTGCCCCTCCCCCCTGCTCGTGCTCTTGCTTTCTCTTAAATGAATAAAAAATCTTAAAAAAAAAAAAAAAAAGGCGCCTCTGCAAGGACAAGATCTCAAGGTCCTGTGTTCCCTTCACTGGGCCACACTGTAAAATAAAACGATGCTTTAACCAAGTGGATTCTAAAATAGAGTAGGTATTATTTTAAAATAAAATCATTGACAGTTCTTTTTATGTTAGTGAGGATTAACCTGCACATCCTAAAGCATTCTATCATGGGGCTGCTCTCCAGAGAGAGGAACAATGTAGATGGTCGCAAATACCAACCTTCAGGATGTCTTGGCTTTCTCACTGTGTTCTCCTCAAACGTAATTAGTTAAGATGAGATTATACAACAGTAGGGTGGCCCCTAAATCCAAAGGAGTTGTGTCCTTAGGAGAAGAGAAGAGACAGGGGGAGATATGCGGGGAGGCGGAGCTTGGGGTGACGGGTCTACAGCCCTGGGCCAGCCAAGGAGTGCCGGCAAGTAGCAGAGGCTGGGACAGGAGCAGGGACGCGATTCTCCCTGTGAGCCTCCTGAGGGAAAGCAGCCCTTCTGACCCATTGATTGTAGGACCTCCTGCCTCCAAAACCGTGAAAAATAAATTTTTGTTTCACCCCACCGAATTTGTGGTAATTGGTGACAGCAGCCCTAGGAAACTATATACTCACCCTCAAGCTGCTCAACCTTTAATTCTCAGAACAGTACCAGGGGACAAACAGAAGGGGCATGAAAAAGCAAAATGTGTGACGGGCCCATTGTCAAACACACAAGCAAGGCTTCAAAGGAAATGAAAATGAGTTCAAGTTTCCATTTAGCCTTTTATCATATATTCTCATAAGCTGGTGCTTCCTGATTAGGAAATGACGCGCGGATGACAGAACAGGTCCTTCTTTTCTGTTTGGCGCCTAGTGGCCTTGCAAGGACACTGCCTTGAAAGACCACCTGTTATCTCTCTTGGTACTTTACTAATCTGAGACTTAACAAACAAGCATCTACCTTTTTGTAAGACATTAAAACAAGATGGGAAAATTGTTGGTGGCCTGTTTGTACACATTTTAAAAAAGGAGACATCTGTCTAGCATATATCCGCAACGCAGTGTTGATCCTGGTGTGTGCTAGGACACATCTTAGTGTGTACTTTTAACTCATAAACTAAACAAAACAAACCCCCTAAAAATTAAATAACCAGGGAGTTTTCACAGTAATTGCATGAGTTCTTTAGTTTTGTACTCCTGGTAAGAATGAAGTTCACAATGTACAGTGTTCTTACACTCGAGTATTGTTATTGTACCTTTCAACTATTATGAGCTTGTGGCTATTACTTGAAAAAGGGAAAAACAGGACAAACTCACTTCTAAATATTGAGGCCAATGGTTTTTCTTTAATGCTGGATTGAATCTAAAGAAGGCTCTAAATTACTTTTTCCCAAGACTTATGTGTTCTCCAAAGAGTTTCCCAGCTTCATCATGTCTTAATGCTACCCTGGCAGAATAGAAAGCAGTCAGGGGCATAACCAAAAATTAAACCCGGAATATGGTCCTAGTTTTTCTACAGCTAGGTATCTGTCTACAGATAAGCCACTTCCTCAATTTGTCTATCTAAGAAGATGATCTTTAAGTCTAAAAAGGCTAGGCCTTAATATAAGGCTGTTGCAAGGTACTGTCTATTTTAATCATGAATAGAGGGAACAAGTGGGTTTTTTAACCATTTGAATTTTTTTCCCCAGTATTCCTTTCCAGTCCTGAATTTATTAGTGCTTAAGTTCTTAGGGATATCTGCCAAATAAGAGATACGAGAACCGTTACTTCCACCATTCTCCCCCCTCCTCACAGAAAGTACCAGGTTTGGGGATGCTGTTTTTCCATTTATACATCAGAAGGGAGAAAAGGGAGAAAAGTTATGGCTTCTGTCACATAATAGAATGTTCCATGCCTAATATTTGAAACTATTTATTCTTAACAGTTTTTGAGTTATGTGTTGGTCTTTCTTTGGAGAGGTCTTCTCTCTTAAAATGTCTGCTAATTAAATGACTTCCAGGGACTTCACATATTAGTCCTGATTGGAGAAAAGGTGCCATGGGATTAACTTAACTAGCACATTTTCAAAAACTTGGTTTTGACTCTATGTAAATCAAATGTACTAGTTAAACTGATCCCCTGGCACCATTCCTCCAGACAATCATGAGTAATAGCCCAAGTTCCTGAAAGTCATTTAATATATTTAAGAAATATATACACGTGTATATTTAAGAAAAAAAATATATGGTTTTTCTTCCCTTAGTCTTAAAAGCAGATGACCAGAACACAATTCTCTGCTAAATACAAGTTTTCTGTTTTTCTTTTCCCTTAAGATGCAGTACTGGGAGTGGGTTAGGGCAGAGAAGGAAAAGAGACGCAGAAAGGCAGACACAGGAGAGGAGGGGTGGCTGGGAGTTGTGCTTGTTTGCGAGAAAGCGAGCATACTGGGAGACAGATGACTGAGTCTAGACCTGAGACTGACACACGAGCCCTTCCTCCCTTGAGCTGTCCTGACTGGTTTTCCTCCTGCATATGGGAGGATGGAAACATACACATAAACTACCATCTCTACCAACAGCTTCTTTTTCCTTACAGTTTATGCCATCTTGAAAATCTGCAAATGGTGATCAGGCTCGCAAAAATCTCTAGGAGTCAAAGAGAAAGCTTGCAAAAAACGGGCCCAATGAGCAATACAAAGGCTTGTGCATCAGCTCCCGCTGGACAGCTCGGACTCTAGGGGCACTGACCCAAAGATACTGTTTTGCTTAATTTAAGGTCAAAATAAACTAGGAAAACTGAAATTACAAAATAATGATATAAATAAAAGTTAATGAGAAAGGCTAAATTAAATGATGCTGCTGTCTATATAAAGCTCGGGAAACTGTGATTCTTACTTAGATATACTTGCAATGGACTATTCATTCCATAAATGTGAGTAATGATTATTTACTGGATACTCGCCACATGGGGGCTCTGCACTAAGTGATTTAGATGTATTCTTTTAATATTTGATTTAGTAGGTATTCTTATTTCATTTTATACATGAGACCACTGAGGTCCAGTGAGGTTACATAGTAAGATTCTAACTTAACTGGTCTGGGATAAGGGCCAGGTTCTTTTTCTTCTTAAAGCTCTCCAGATGATTCTAAGTACAGCTAGGACTCAGTCCTATTATATATGACAGACCTGTGATAAAAATGTTTTAAAAAATTAAGATGGAGGGACGCCTGGGTGGCTCAGTCGTTAAGCGTCTGCCTTCGGCTCAGGTCATGATCCCAGGGTCCCGGGATCGAGCCCCGCATCGGGCTCCCTGCTCAGC